AAGGGAACTGATCCTAGCATCCATAATTGAGTAACCAAACGTTGATTCATCTTTTTAGGGAAAAATCCATGAATTTCCGCAAGGCAACCAACCGATCGGTGTTTTGCAATGGACATTATGACGATGAATATTATGTACCTACCGTGGCATTAATTATGGCAGTCATTTATAGTTTACTATCTGTTGCAACTGCTTTAGAAAACATCTTGATTCTGGTCGCCCTTCGCAGAGATAGATGTCTTCATCCTCCTTCAAAACTTCTGCTTTGCAATCTCACGATCACCGATCTTTGTACTGCCTTAATTTCACAGCCAGTATCAGCTGCTGTCAGTTTGGCAGGAAGAGACCAAATTGGTGGCGAACGATGTCTTTTGGTAGAATACACAGCTTTTCTTTTAACAGCGATTTTCTCCGGTTTATCTCTGTCGACTGTGACTGTTATTTCTGTGGATCGACTCATGGCCCTTTTGCTAAGAATACGATACAAACAAACGATAACTGGAAGACGAATCCGTGTTGTTCTCTTTCTAATGTGGATCCAAAGCATTTTAGTGGGCGCCGTTTCTTTCTGGAACATGAAAGCGTTCTTTTTTGTATGCGGTCTTTTAGTTACTTTAAAAATGACAATCTCGACTTACTGTTACACAAGAATCTTTCAAAATATTTGGCGTCGGCGAACAGCCGTGCAAGATCTCAGAGGAGAAGGAGCAGCTGCTTTGTTAGTGATGGCACGATACAAAAAGACAGTGATCAACTCTTTATGGGTCCACATAACATTAGTAACATGCTATTTTCCTTTTGCAGTAGTAACTACTTTAATGCTTATTCGTGGATTAAATTTCACAATTTTCGTGGCACAAATCGTAGCTGTTGGTTTGATTAGTCTCAATTCCGTGCTAAATCCTATTGTTTATTGTTGGAAGATTAAAGAAGTTCGAAAAGCAGTAAAAGAAACGATAACACAGTTTTGCGCTTGCTTTTACGGTTAAAGGAACTGCCGAAAACTGAATATAATTATGTGCTAATGCTGTAAATTCTAGAGTTTGGCTGTTGCTTGAGATTATAACACATATATGTAAATACATTTAAAAATTTGCCGAATGCTTAATTTGTAAATAAGGGAACAATCCATTCTGTAAATTTGCTTAACAGTACTTGGTGATAATACTTCCGGGTAGCAGAGTAAGACTAAGAGAAGAGTTACACTAAACTACTAAATACTGTAATAGAAAGAGTATTTTAAAAAAATTCCCCTAAAGGAAATAAAATTTGAATGGCTTATTGAGGAGAGTGTCTCTTCAGTTATCAGGTTTGTGTCGATACTGTTATTTGACTTTTAAAGCTTTGACGTTAATTAGATAGAGATCGTCCTTGATCATGAAAAATTCGGATCATTACTGTCTGTCAAATTCCAAACCCAGGTATTCCTTTTGTTCCAGAATTATTTCTTTCTTCTTTTAACGGAAATAAGACTGATCGCAAAACGTTTAAGATTGTAATGCTATAGGTGGTTTACTTCTCCAGTCCTCAGATTTATCATGCATAACTGACAGAGTTTCTAACTAAGGGCTTCCAGTTTTGGCGTATTGGCGAGCTCCTGGCTGGGAAGTGGTGTTGGTAAATTTGCGACAACTCCGAGGAAAATTTTAACTGAACTAGCGGACACTGACTATTAATTTGTAACAAACGCAGTGTTTCATGTTACTCAGTTGTAGTACAATACTAAGACTGATCATGATGCTATCTGCTACTGTAATCACAAAAGCAATTCTGCCATGTATTAAGAGTACAGTGGTTTCATTCCAAGATATAAGATATTTTTCACCTGAGCCTTTTATTGCACTATGCACAGCTTGCACCAAGTATTTACCTTACTTAACCATTTATTATGTTTCATTTATGCTTTGGTCACCGCGAAACAATAATTTCCAGGTTATTTTTTAGACTTCTTCACATGTGTGTACGATTAAAAAATAAAAGAAGAAAAATCATCAAAACTGCACATTATGACCTTCAATGCGCAAGTTTTGTCGATATCCTACAGCCATGGATGAGAACGAGTCAAAAAATATAATTTAAAGATATTCAACCTCGTTTATCTGTGCTTGTTCAACTAGAAAAAAAGGCAGAAATTTTTTGAAACGTTCTTTTTACCGCATGTCGAATTTCTTTGATTTTCCAGCAGCCAAGAATTGGATTCAAAAAGGAATTTCGGTTGATTAGATTAACAGTCAATCTTTGGGCGATTAAAATTGAAAGGCTGGTTTGGGACCTGAGCATTATAGCAGATACGACAAGGTGGGGTAAATAACATGTCACTAATGTAGAGTGAATCCACAGTGTATTCCTAACTGATTTTTTATACACCACCATATTGGGTGGAGCGCTCTCTGTTGTTTGATCTCCCAAACTATCCTGTACCTCTCTTTGGTAACGTCGAATGATGTAGGAGATTAAGAGAAAGAAGTCATTAGACTCGGCAGCCAGCAAACCACGAATAGCCCCACCACAATACTAACTGTTTTAGCAGCTTTTAAGTTCTGTTTTCGTCTGTTCACGGATTCTTGATTCTGTAAAGTAACAACGTTTATTCTCCTGGACTGCGTCGCAGAGGCTTTCAATATTCGCATGGAGCAGAACACAATGACGATCATAGGAAATAACACTGTTATGATTGTAAAAGACAACCACAACTCAATAGAATCATCTCTCACAAAAAACCTTGAACAGGGGAGAAGAAACGACAAGACCCATACAGAAGCTATGATGAGATAACTTCTCGTGTTAGTAAGAAGCTCTTTGTAGCGGAGCGGATGAATGATGGCAATATACCTGTCCAGACTAATGCAGCATAGGTTGAACGTTGTAGCTACAGTGGTGTGTATCCACAGATAATCAATAGCTTTACCGTAAGTTTTCAGATAACTGTCTTCGTCATAATTGATGCACCTGGCCGTTGCCCATACAGGGTTTATAACAAGTCCTACCGACAAGTCCGCCACAGCCAATGAAGCAATGAAAAAATTCGAAATTATTCTGAGAGAATGATTTCTGGCGATCAACCATAAGACAACGGTGTTGCCAATTACGGCCACCAGACCGGTGACACTGAACCAGGCTGCTAAAACGATCCTTTCCTCTTGGCTAAACTCCTCCCTGGTGCTGTTCATATTGTAAAGGCGTCTTTTCAATTCTGCTAACTTGGCGTGAGTTCTTCTCTGATATTAGATGACGAACAATTTATGGATTTAAAACACTTTTAATAGATTTCGCATATTGTTTGGCCCAATAGGTAAAGATCAACACCGAAGAACTTAATAAATTATTAAAGAAACACCGGTGGCCGGTTTTCAAGCCAATGTCTGGGTGGTGAATCACCTTCAACCTCTAGTTGCTATGCTTTCGTCCATGCATTAGTGTGAGCTGCCAACGCGTCGAGTTTCGTATTAACTAACTCAGTGAGTCGAATGTTATGTCGAATGCTTTTGTTTAATAATAATTTCGCCCGTCAAAACGTCGAGCATTGAATAATAGTCAATTGTAGCACAAAAGAAGTACAGTCATGCCAAGTGAAAAATCCATCCCCTCTCGAGTGAAAAGGTGAGTTCCCAGTCAAGAAGAAATATTTCATTTTGAAGTTTTTGCTACTGTTCGTACAAGTAATGAAAAATTATGTGATAGTCTAAAGACTACATGGGTGAATTATTATGAGACACCGATCGTAAAAGTACCAAGATCATTACGACAAGTAAAATATATTGGAACGTCGTTTTATTTATTTTGAGCTCTTTATTTCTTCTTTAGAAGTGAACTGTTAGACATCTAAGGTTTTCAAGGTTTTTCCATATCTTCCCTTCCTTTCTGGCAATTTCTTTGTTAATGCTGGAGCCATATGAATAGTGTTTTCTATATCATCATAACTATTGATATCTGATTATCAATTGATGAAAGCACAAATCAATAGTGGGAATTAAAAATTCACCTGCCATAAGTCATGTTTTAATAAAGATCCTTTTATCTTTCTCATTTATTTAAATCATTCTCACTGATCATGTACGAGCGCAGATAAACACCTCCGTTCTCAAAACTTCATTAACTACCCCTTTTGTGAATTAAGTTGAGTGAGGTATCGCCGGAAAAATCTAAATCGTTAACAAGTGTAGATCCCAAAAAACGCTCTAAATTCTGGCTAAAACTCTGACGAATCCTACAAACTATCGAAAGGAAAGAGGAGCGACCGGCCACGGCTTGTGCTTGTCAATATCACTCTGAGCTAAATTTGAATGATTAAAACTCAGCAAACGTTCTTCGCATGATTTTGACTTGTTATTTACTCAGCTCCCCTTTATTTATTTTATACCTGAATAATTATCTGTTTGTGACGAAAGCGTCTTTTTGTCGAACAAATTAAAAGGTAATAAATGCTTCCCGTGTATTTCTTGCACATGGTATTTCACAAGTAGCAGTTTTTCTAGATAACTGATTGAAATAACAAAGATAGGTTTCGTAGTGATACATCTAATGCTTCAGCACCCAGAGGAATTATAGACATCATCGTAAGTCCCCAAAAACTACCCTATACAAGATAAAATCGCCGGAAACTTTTCTGAAAAGCGCAAATTAATTCTACCCAAACACAAAGTTAGCTGTTTGAATTAAGGTTTTACTTAGAATAATTGACTAGGTAATTATTATTGTAGGCTTAATGGTTTATGGAAATTTCTTTAAGTGACAGGTGACAAGCACTTCGAGTTTTGACAAAAAACTTAATTTACAGCTAAAAGCTGTTTTGCCAACCATGATAATAACCAATATTCATGGTTGGCAAAACAGCTTACCACTTAACCAACCTTTTAACAACCTTTTACTTTTGTGAACAAAAAAGTTATTGCATCGTGCGATATGACTTCATAAGGTCAGTCTACCGTCTTTTAAGAAATCGAATTGTGTGTGATAATGCTTCATAGAACTCTTCGTTATGCAAACAATAAACCCATGAGTTGGTTGCAGATCAAGTAAACGCCATTATTTCAAGAAATGTCCACACGTTTGTACAGTCTCTGAATTGTACATGAAACATTTTTCCAAATTATCGTCTTTTAAGAAATCGAAATGTGCTTGATAATGCTTCATAGAACTCGTCGTTTCGCAAACAATACACCCATGGGTTGATTGCCGATGAAGTAAATGCCACTGTTTCAACAGACGTCCACACAGTGTAGTAGGCTGAGTCGTAAGACACTAGGTTGCTGAAATAGTGCGCCAAACCAGTGATGAGACTTGGCAACCAGGAAACCACAAATAGCCCCACTATGATACTAACTGTTTTAGCAGCTTTGTAGTTCTTTTTACTTCTTCTAATAACGTCTTGATTCTGCGCACAGCTGCTCGTCGGTTTTATGCTATTGTAATTTACTAAAGCAGCTTTTAAAATTCGAAGAGAACAGAACACGATTATAGACATAGGAAATAATATTGTCATAACTGTAAAAGATAGATACAATGTCGATAAAGCTGTTATATCCTGAACCATGAACCTTGAGCAGGGTAAGACAAGGGACATAAACCATGCATTAGCTATCAGTAAATAACATCTTCTGTTGGTGAGAAAATCGTGGTAGCGCAGAGGATGAATGATGGCTACATACCTGTCCAGGCTAACACAGCATAAGTTAAATGTTGTTGCCACAGTGGTGTGGATCCATAGGTAATCTATACTCCTACTGAAGGTTTCGAAGTAGGTTTTAGAATTATAACCCAAACATCTTACGACTAACCACACTGGGTCTATAACAAGTCCTACTAAGAAGTCCGCGGCGGCCAACGAGGTTAGGAACAGGTTGGACATTGTTCTTAGAGATCTTTTTCTGAAAATCAACCACAGGACAATTCCGTTTCCAACTATGGTTAGTAACCCTGCGACACCCAACCACGACGCTAAAGCGATCTTTGCCTCCAAAGGTAGCGGTTTACCTTGGTTTCCCGAAGTGTGTGTGTCGTTCATTCCTACTGCGTCGATTTCTTCTGCGTCGATTTCAACCTTCTGTTTCTCTTCTGATCGAATACGTTTTCTAATTAAAAATCATACCTTACATAGAGGGACATTTTATCAATTTATCAAGATATTGATTGTTTGAAGTCAGTTCTCCGCAGCTATTTTTAACATCCTTAGAAATGGTTTTAACGTTTTGTTATTATCATATTTATGCAAAGTGATCTTTGTTAATAACTGCCTGCTGGTAAGCATTGTTGCGCTTGTCAAGTGACTCTCACACTTGCTTAAGTTTAAATTTATGTCGATGACATTGTACTTCAAAAGAGAAAGCAGAGTGAATGGGTTCTTAAGATGATACTAAAGATTTCGAATGGCAGTGCATGGATTCAAATTTTATGTACGAGTTTTGATAAATTGTACCCACGATCGATCGGACTTGTAATATTTGGTTTATCTTATAAATATTAATGAAATACATAAATTCAAAACGAGTATAAAAATAATGCACGAAAAAAAGAAATACAAAGAATCGATCTCCATCGCGTAGGTGAAATGCTACTTCAACCTCCGAAATAAAAAATAACGCTAAAAATATTTGGTCTCAAAAAGGTTGAATTCGAACTTGTAAAATAATTTTGGTAAAGTAACAGATGCCCTTTCGTGAGAATTCAATCAGCCGATGTATGAAGATATTTATGGCATATGTATTCAGTGCGCGTCGTTAACTTGTTATGTGTTTAAATGATTAAGGTTTAGAGGGGTGAAAATGAATTTTCCGTTTGCTGACACTTTAAAATCCCAAAAATTTGGGATTCGATTTCTTTTTAAGCGTTCTGTTGTCGTTGTTCTTGTTGTCCCCTACTGGTGAAAAACGTATTCAAACTTTCGTTAATGATCGTTTCCCTAGCAATGAGTGTTTATTTCAATGCTGCATATACATGTAAACATGCATTGTTAAAAGGTGCGCGGGAGCTTACTACAATGCATGAACTGATAAATGTGAGTGTTGCAGTGAAAACCAAGTGGCAAGGGAGTTCCTCTCAGCTTGAAATGATAGTTATAATCCCTAGTACTTAATTAGCGATGTTTCGGACAAACCTCTCCTTTGACCTTTTCACTCAAGAATTTTGAACTGTTGCTAAACAGCAGAATTGACCCTATTTTATGCTGGCAACGAAACCTTTAAACCCAATTTTAATTAAGACCTGTATGAGAGGTATCTTGAAAGTTATGTTGAACTTATGTAACTTAATCTCTAGGTCTAATTTGTTTTAAAATCGACACTGGGTTGGAGAAGATTACCTCACTCAGTTTACAAATTTCACGCCGTCTTACATGTTCCTTTATCCTTAATAGTGTTTCGGTGTACAGACTCCTCGCCCTGTTATCAGGGACGAGATACAGGCAAGAGTTTGCAGTGCCGATCTACCAATATGGGTGAAAGAATTCAGTGTGGTTGGTTCCACCTACCTTTGGAAAAAGATATCATATCTACTTTCAAGTGGAGTATTGATAATATTAGAGCTGATGATCTCAACGTATTCCTTCTCCAGAATCTTTCACGTCACTCGAAGTCAGCAAATACGGGTGCAGGGTGAATTGACTGGGAAAAAAAAAGGAACCTCATCAAACATGATGCGGTATGAAAAGACGGTCATCAATGCTTTGTGGGTTCAACTTATATTAGCAGTCGGTTATCGTCCCTTTACTGTAGTGACGGTTGTAATCCTTATCCTAAGGCTTACCTCCACTCCTTTCCTGGCCGAAGAGCTTGCATTATGTTTAGTTTACGTCAACTTCTTTCTGAATCCTGTCCTTTATTGCTGGAAAATCAAGCGAAATCGAAGATCAGTGAAGAAATTATAACAGAAATTTATTCTTCTATATGCACGTAAACTTGATATACATAACGGTTTGCGTAACGAAATCTTGTGTCACTCTGTAATTGGAGTGAATGATCTCCTAAGTGACTGTAGTGGACCTTGCAAGACTTCGCCCAAAGGGAGTGTACTCATTTCATTCGAAGTATTTATATAAGGGTATGAGTCCCACTTCTTTGCACTAAAGAGCGAATGGAATATCTTACTTTGGGCGATATGCTTGAAAATTTTTGGCGGTTATTCAACATGGCTTAGTGAGGAAACAGATGATAGGTGAGCTGACAGTGCATCAAGAAGATAAATGACCAATGTATTACATCCATTTTGAAATCGCAAAATTCAGTCCCTCAAATACAGGATATTTTAGTATTTATGCACAAGTAGGTTATTGATTCAGTGGTGAGCTGGTTTGTGAAAAGTTGCAAAATTTGTCTTTCATTTTCCCCTAATATTTTTGGTTTCTTTAAACAGTCAAGTAGTAGTAAAGGTTTTTCACTGGCTTGAAAAAGATGCGATTTAGAGCAAAAATGGTGCGACTCGTGAATAAATCGCACTAATGAGAGCCAATCAGATTACAAGGATTAGCAGTGGTTTCAAAATGGATGTAGTAAATGTAAAGAACAAAATACGTCTTAGAGCAGTACACAAATGTGTTGGGGGTGTCATGCAATAACTTCTTTCTTAATGAACAAGTGTAATGGAAAAAATGGAAAAGCTGTGATAATTTTATGGGACAGAGTTTGGCGATTATTAAAGTTGCCGATAGTTCCTTGTTGAATCCAAATATTTGTTTAAGGCTAAAGATTCCATAAATTCATACTTTTGCACTTGAAGAAGAGTATTCAACGGACACAAGAGATTATAATCTCTTGATGAACACCACAAAGTTTGAATTTGAGAGACAATCATAATTTATCGCCCAGGTAACCCGGGCGCGTTGGGAAAAAATCTTGCTTGAAACTCATTCAATCGAACGTTCATAGAAGTTCGCAAATTGATCGAACATTAGAATTTTAAAACTTCATAGAAACATTAAATGAGGACCATGTCTGATACAAAGAATGACATGATTTTTGTTGCTCCGCATGTGCAATGCATTTACGTAGAATTTAAATCTGAAAGAATCTCTGAAATAGTCCTCACGTATATGCCATGTCAATCAACTCGACATAAGGGTACTTCAAAGAATACCTCTTTGCGTAGCCGATCGTTCCAAGTTTGTAATAGCTGCAATCATTCCTCCTTTAAAAGTTAAGCATTGCACATCATTAAGTGCATTATTGCTCTTAGATTTAAAATTTTCCCGTATTAAAGAACCATAGGCTTTGCAGTAGTCAACTTCTAAGGAAAAAGGTAAATTTTTCCGTGAAAAATTTTAAAATGGTCATTAGACGCGCGACAACTTCTTTCGTTAGCAATTTGTGATATTAAATTTTGCACCGTGTAAAGGTGCCGCTGTTCTACGTTTTAAGTGCTTTATTATCTAGAGGCTGATGAATAAAAGTAGATGTATGCAATGCAATTTCTTTTTATCGGGGTTATGGCGATCCAAACGAATGATTGTCATATATGAACGTAGTATGAGACGCAGCACGCATTGTTCTGTGGCTGAGAGGCCCGAAACCCAGAGTTTGGGATTCGATTTCTTTTTAAGATTTTTGTTGTTGACCCACGTTGGTGAGAAAACGTATAAAAGAGTTCGTTAGTTATCGTTTTGCTGGCAATGTGTGGTTCTTGGAGTGCTACACTTGTAAATGCGCATTTTTAAAAAGGTGGCGCTGCTCTGGGTTTTAAGAGTTGCCAGTTGTTCTTTTAACTAGAGTGTTTCTGTGACGATCATCTTAGCTTGAAATGATTGTTGTCCGTAAAAACACTTAAAAATGGTCTTTAGACGAGTAACAGCTTCTTTCGTTAACAGTTTGTGATATTTAATTTTGCGGTATTCAGAGGTACCGCTGCTCCACGTTTTAAGAGCTTTATTTTCATGGGCTAATGAATGAAAGTGGGTTCATGCTCATAAGGGTCATCCAAACTAATGCTTGTCATATATGAACTTAGCAGTGACGTAGCACCCATGTCTAACTACCTGAGTGGTGAACTGCATCGCGCCCCGAAACTCGGAGGTTTGGGATTCGATTTATTGTTCAGATTTTTGTTGTTGTCCCACGCTGGTGGGAAAACATATGCAGTGAAGATCCTCTCAGCTTGAAATGAAAAACCTTGTGATTCTGGTCGCACTTCAAAAGGACGCATCCCTTCGTCCAACATCGAAAATTTTGCTTCGCAATTTGACGATTACCGATCTTTGCGCTGGCCTCATTTCACAGCCGTTAGCGATGACAATATTTTTGTCTCTTATTACGGAAAACTGGACCCTTTGTCGTAAGGCTAAAAATTCAGCATATATCGTGACCACGGTTTTCTTTGGTGTATCTCTAGCGACACTGACCTCCATTGCAGTGGAGAGACTCCTCGCCCTGTTCTTAGGGATAAGATATGGGCAAGTTGAAATTGTCAGGAGAACTCTCACGGTCGTCCTGTTTATATAGATGAAAATGTTGCGGTCGGCCTACTTTTAGCTTTAGAATACGATATCATTCCTCCTTTCAAGCGAAGTATTGATGACATTAGAGCTGATGATTTCAACGCATTCCTACTCCAGAATATTTTGCACCATTCGACGTCAATAAATGCTAGTGCAGAATGAATTAGCAGGGAAAAGAGCAGGAACCTCGCCAAACATGACGCGATATAAAAAGACGGTCATCGATGCTCGGCTATAAGTTCACCTTACATTCGCAGTCTGTTATCTTCCTTTTTGTGTTGTGACAGCTATAATCCTTATTCAAGAGCTAAACTCGTCGCTTTTCCTGGCTGAAGCACTTGCCGTATGTTTAGTGAAACCCAACTCGTCGCTGAATCAAGTCCTACCGCTGGAAAAGGGAATTCGAGGAGCAGTGAAGGAAACCATAACATAATTTTTCACTGGTTTCTCAACTTAAATCTAATATGCATTCATATAATTATGTGTAACGAAAATAAATCGTGTTTTACACGATCAGTGAAAAGTATTTCAGATCGCGTTAGATTAGAAGGCCGAAGATTAAAGAAAATTAAAAAAATTATTTTACGGACACTAGAACGTTTGTATTAAAGAGACCAGTGATAATTTATGTTTGAGATCCCAAAATAATTTAACGTTATAATTTTATACTAA